ATTGACTTACTAGGTATTGATTCCGAATGTAGGCATCAATTTTTAAAGCCTCGCCACACAAAAAATCAGGCAAGGTGGAATGACTAACCATACATCACACCATGTCCACTAGAGTATGACTTCTCCTTATTGCAATACCATTCTGTTCAGGAGTTTCAGGCATTGTGTACTGAGCCTCGATATCACATGCCTCGAGAAATCTAGCAAAATGTCCAGGATTTCTACTAGTTTCATCATATCTCCCATAAAACTCACCTTCTCTATCTGATCTTACCGCTTTGATTTTCTTGTTTTTCTAGAGTTTCACAACAACCTTGAAAGCCTTAAAAGCTTCCAACGAGTCTGATTTTTCTCTAACGAGCTCAATATATCCATAGTGAGAATAATCATCAATAAAGATAATGAAGTACCTATAATATCCCAAAGCCACATGTAAAATGGGATCACAAACATGAGTATGAATTAAATCCAAAATTTCCACACTTCACTAATCTTTTGTTTATTTGGTTGTTACTGGAAGCTTCCCTTTGATACAAGCAACACAAGTTTCTAAATTAGAAAAACCCAAGTCAACGAGTATACCATCTTTAATCAACATTTCCATTCTTTTTTTAAAAATATGACCCAACCTTCAATGCCATAACATAGAAGATTTTCAATTGGATCTATTATGTTTAAAGCAACTACATCATTCACAATAGAGATACAAAAAATAGAATTTAAAATAGAAAACAAGTTAATTCTATACAAACCATCATATAAAGTAGTAGTACCAACCACAATAGAATCATAATAAATTGCAACATTTCCAGTTCAAAATGAAAACCATATCCACATTTGTTCAAAATAGAAATAGAGATAAGATTTCTTCAGATAAAAGGTATAAAAGCAGTATCAAACAAGTTCAAAACATGTTTAGAAGCCAACATAAGTCTGACTGTACCAATATGTTCAAATTTAACCTTTACCCCATTGCCTATATTTACTACTGACTTTATATCAAATTGTCTTCTACAGTTCTTTAATTCCTATAAAAGAATTTGTCGTAGAATGGTTGCACCAGTATCTAGCCACCAAGTATCAGAAGGCACATCGAGTAGATTAGACTCAAAACACACTAATAGCGAACGTGTACCTTTCTTGTCTAACCAAGCCAATCAACCTTTTGTCAGAAGTTATACTTGCTCTTGAAACCTTCTTTCTTATGCCCATCTGGAACACTCATAGTAGCTTGTTGGGGAGGTCTCTCAAATTATTTTATCTTATGGAAGTTGCTGCTTTTACCTTCGAAATTTTTTTTCTTCTCTTTATCAGCAGTTACTATTAAAGTAACGTAAAACTTGGCATTTTTCATCATCTCATCTTCTTGAGTTACAATAGTAGTCATTTTCTCAAGCTCCATTCTTCTTTCTGAGCATTATAAATAGTTTTGAGTACATCAAACTGAAATGACAAAGATTCAAGCAATTGCTATACAAGAAAACTATCTACTAACTCAATTTTCATTCCTTCTAGCTTGTTAAGAAATGAATAAGCTTCATAATGTGGTTTCTGACTTCGCTAACCTCATCATAGGTTGTAGTAGTAAGAAGTTTCATCAAAGTTCCCTTTTCTGGACTATCAAACTTAGTAAATTTCTTCCTAACAACCTCAAGATACTCTTTGTCATTATTTGTATCAGTTATGCTCTGCCAGATAGACTTGTCTATAATAAACTTCATGATCATAAGACAAGTCATATTGTAATGCACCATTGTGAATAAAAAGTCTTTTCGGTTGCATAACTTTCACTAGTGGGTTTGGTAGGTACATAAACCATCAAAGCCAAATCCAAATTCATGATAGCCAAATTAATGGTGAGAGACTCATTCCAATCCTCATAATTGGTTCCCACTAGACTCTTGATGGTAGAGAGAGAGAGAGAGAGAGAGAGAGAGAGCGCGAGCGAGCGAGCGATATTACCATGAGCTAAGGAAAATACAATAAAATTCATTAAGCATATGGAACAAGAATCATGCATCCATAAATGTATCCACTAGGCAATTTTATATCCATGCTAGAGTTTGATTCAAAAAATTCTCTTACACTAGGCTAGAGCCCAAGATACACGGAAGGCTCTTACTCATGGCAAAGCAAAATAATTAAATACAAGGACCTAAAATGACCAACCATCAAGAGGATGGAATTAGGTCCTCGAGTTCCGAACACTTAACCATCTGCTAACAAGGCAAATTCACTATTCCTATGGATCTTAGGGGCCGTTTGAGCCCCATTATTTGTAAATTATAATGAGATGAATGGTTTTTTTTTTTTAAAAATGAGTGGTTGAAATGTTTTTGATTTACGTGTAATATTATTTTATTGAAGATTGTGTGGTTAAAAGTAGGAGAGAGAGAAATTTAATTTAATGTAATGAGAAATAATGGGGCTCGAACGGGGGCTTAGAATAATATCATTAAGCGGAAGCATGGCCAATAATTTATCATGACTAGTCCTACGAGAGGTGGATACATAGCCACTCCAAATCACAAGAGTATCTTGAGGTTCTGGTAGTAAGAAGTTTCATCAAAGTTCTCTTTTCTGCCTTATCAAAGTTAGTAAATTTCTTCCCAATAGCCTCTAGATACTCTTTGGCATTATATGTATCACCAATGCTCTGCCTAACAGACTTGTCTATTGTACACTTCATGATCATGATATAAGTCCTATTGGAATGTACCCATTGCTCATAAAAAGTCTTTTCGATAGCAGAACTTGTGGGTTTGGTAGGTGCATCAACCTTAAAGCCAATCCAAATTCATGATAGCTAAATTAATAGTGAGAGACACATTCCAATCCTCATAATTAGTTCCTGTTAGACTCTCGAGAGTAGACAAAGCCGCATTGCCATAAGCTAAGGACAATACAATAAAATTTATTAAGCATATGGATCAAGAATCATACACCCATAAATGTATCCATGAGGAAATTTAATATCAGTTCTAGAGTCTTATTCAAAAAAATACTCTTACGTACTATGCTAGAGCCCAAGATACATGAAAGGCTCTTACGCATGACAAAGCAAAATAATTAAATAGAAAAATTTAAAATGCCTATTATCGAGAGGATAGAATTAGGCCATCAAGCGCCAAACGATTATCCATTATCTTCATCATCCTAAGCATCCTACCATTATATATGTGTGTGAGTGTGTTTTTGTGTGTGTGAAAAAGGGATTATCCATTTCTTTTCTCATATTAACAAGTATGAAGCAATATCACAAAATTCATAAACAAATAAAGGAGAGAAATTTTGCAATGTAAGATATCAGCCATAAAAATGAGAAGACAAGTTTGATACCAATTGTTATATTCAATAGATGTAATAATCTCCTCTTAAGTCATAGCATGTATTCAACAAAGTGGAGAGAAATCATACCTCCAATAGCCTGTCATTGATTTTTCATGAAATATTTAGGGTTTCTGCAAGAAAAAATTTCCTTCTATCGAAATAAATAACCTCAGCTCCCTTTTTCCTTTTTGTTGTGTCCCGAGGAAGGGGTGGAGGGCAAAGATAAATTAAATTCGATGGGCTACTTTTATTTTAAGTGGGGTGAGGGTAGGGGCCTCCATATGTGTGTTAAAATGGCCCATCCCATTATGGACCCAATGACAAAATGTCACTGCTAGTCCACTTAATAGAAATAAATACAACATCCTAATCAATTTGCAATTGTTGATTTCGTTAATCTTTGATATATTTGTTCATGATTGACTGAATTTTGTTTGAGATCTCATTTTGATATGTTTCTACTGTTTAACGAGATAAAAAAGATCAAATAAGATATCTTAAGGTATCATTTATCTGATTTTTTTACATAATGTGTATCTAGAATAAAATGTTACAGGTGTATGGTTGAAAACATATTAAAATGCCGAGTGATGCTTGGTTACCAGGGCCACATGGGCCCTAGTATTACACGGGCACCGATGCCCTATAGGTGGGTAATACCCAAGGGCGGACCCAAAATTATTTTTCAGTGGTGGTGAGACGGAAAATTGACTAAAATAAATTGTGAAAAAACCAAAAAAAAAAAAAAAAAAAAATTTAAAAAAATTAAAAAAAATGTCACTGCTAGTCCACTTAATAGAAATAAATACAACATCCTAATCAATTTGCAATTGTTGATTTCGTTAATCTTTGATATATTTGTTCATGATTGACTGAATTTTGTTTGAGATCTCATTTTGATATGTTTCTACTGTTTAACGAGATAAAAAAGATCAAATAAGATATCTTAAGGTATCATTTATCTGATTTTTTTACATAATGTGTATCTAGAATAAAATGTTACAGGTGTATGGTTGAAAACATATTAAAATGCCGAGTGATGCTTGGTTACCAGGGCCACATGGGCCCTAGTATTACACGGGCACCGATGCCCTATAGGTGGGTAATACCCAAGGGCGGACCCAAAATTATTTTTCAGTGGTGGTGAGACGGAAAATTGACTAAAATAAATTGTGAAAAAACCAAAAAAAAAAAAAAAAAAAATTCTAAAAATTTAAATTTAACAAGGTCGAATTGAAGGTTCTAGATATTCAGTGGGGGCGGCCGGCCCCACTCGTCCCTTAGTGGGTCCATCCCCGGTAATACCAGGGCCACATCCTAAAATGTCAAGAGAATATAACAAGCTATAAAATTAAAAATCTGTCATTTTCATTAGTGTAATATTTGACTACGAATGAGGGAATATCTGTAAGCACAACAATGTTCTGAATTTTTAATAAGAATCTGAACATATGTGCAGATGTTCATGGGCATGTAGTATTATTTAATGATTGCCAATTTTCTCCGTAGCCTTTCAATCCCTTTTTTAACTATGGAGTGATAAGGTTAAAAAATCTTCAGATGACAACTTTCAACAACCTCCGGTGTCATTTTACTTATATATTTTGTTTATTCTCCAGCACTTGAACAAATTTAGCCAGAAAATCTTAAACTTAGTTTTCAAGATCCAGATGAAATTGGCAAGGTTGCTTCTCCTTTTAGTTGCTTACTGGAAAAATATTTTTCTCCTTTGTTTGGTTTTAGGCTTTCTTCATTTGACAAATGCTACAGATGGTGCAAATGAGACAGACCGAGCAGCGCTGCTTGCTTTCAAGGACCGGATAACTGACGATCCTTTTGAGGTGTTGAGCTCATGGAATGATTCTGTACATTTCTGCCTGTGGCGGGGTGTGATATGCAGCGCCAGACACCAACGAGTCACTACCTTAAACCTGCAACACCAGAAACTATGGGGGTCTATGTCGCCCTACATTGGAAATTTGAGCTATCTTCACCAACTGGTTCTTGATAACAATAGTTTCACTGGAGAAATTCCTCAAGAACTCGGAGGCTTAAAGAGATTAAGAATTTTGTGGTTGAGGAACAATTCACTTGACGGTGAGATTCCAACCAGCCTTTCTAATTGCTCCAGTCTCGTGGAAATCCAGCTGTCTCGAAACCGTCTAGTAGGAAAGATTCCTAGGGAGTTCAGCTCTCTCTCGAACCTTAGGCTGATCCGTGCTGCATTAAACAACCTCACAGGCAGCATACCTCCTTCTTTTGGGAACTTATCGTCTCTTCAGATTCTTGGGTTTGCTTCCAACAGTCTCACTGGGAGCATTCCAAATGAGCTAGGACAGCTGAAAAGGCTAGAATATATTGGAATAAGTGAAAACAAATTGTCTGGTACCTTCCCCCAAACAATATTCAATCTCTCTGTGCTTACAACTATTTTTGCACCTCTGAACCAAATTCAAGGGACACTTCCATCTTATCTAGGCTTTACTCTTCCAAACCTATATTATTTTGCCATTGCGGATAACCAGTTTACAGGAACAATTCCCCTTTCGATGTCCAATATGTCAAATCTTCAGTCTCTTTTCATTGGAGGCAACAAATTTACAGGCAGCGTTCCTAATTTGGCAGAGTTGCATAAACTTAATCGTCTAGATATCTCTGGCAATCACCTGGGAAGTGGCGACTCCAATGATCTAAGCTTCATCTCCACTTTGACAAATGCCTCTAATTTGGAAGAATTGGATCTATATGATAACAACTTTGGAGGGGAATTACCTGAATCTTTTGGAAATCTCTCAACAAAGCTCACAGGGCTGTTGGTAAGTGACAATCAACTGTCAGGAAGAATTCCAAATTGGATAGGAAATTTCGTCAACTTGATCGATATTGATATGAGGGGCAACCAATTCACGGGCATAATCCCCATTGAGGTTGGAAAGCTACGAAGTATACGGATTTTGGACCTTTCACACAACCATTTATCAGGGAACACTCCTACCTTCTTAGGAAATTTAAGTCTGCTAACTAAGCTCCACCTGGATGACAACAAATTTTATGGTGAGATCCATCTACTCTGGGACTGTGCCAAACATTGCAAGCACTAAATTTATCCCAAAACAAACTTAGTGGCATAATTCCTCCGCAAGTTTTTGATCTACCTTCTTTAGTGCTATATTTAGACTTATCAAACAACCAATTAGTTGGTTCCCTTCCTACTGAAGTTGGAACATTGGAAAATTTAAATGAGTTGGTTGTTTCGAGGAATAATTTATCTGATGAGATCCCTAGTTCCGTCGGTCGTTGTGAAAGTTTGGAAAAACTTTACATGGAAAAGAACTTCTTTTATGGAAGCATTCCTTCATCCTTTAGTTCTTTGAGAGGTCTAAGATATCTTGATATTTCTCAGAACAATCTATCAGGCCAAATTCCAGAATATTTGGGAAGCTTTGATCTGCAGTTTCTGAATCTTTCTTTTAACGATCTTCAGGGTGTATTACCAGAAGAAGGCATATTTAAGAATGCAAATAAATTTTCTGTGACTGGTAATCCAAAGCTTTGTGGGGGTACACCAGACCTAAAGGTTCCTCGATGCACCACGAAACATTCCACAAAGTTTATCTCAACCTTAACCTTTACATTAATGGTTTCCATAGTTTCTGCTCTTTTGGGGTCGAGCTTGTTGGTGGGTTTAGTGTTCCTTTACTGGTCTAAGACAAGTAAGGTAAATTTTGGCGACTCCTCGAGAGGCTCTTTCTTCAAAGTTTCCTATCACAGCCTCTATCGAGCAACTGATGGTTTCTCTTCAGCGAATTTGATTGGTGTAGGAAGCTTTTCATCTGTGTACAAAGGAATTCTTGAATGTACTGAAACCATTGTTGCTGTGAAGGTATTTAATCTTTTGCAACGTGGAGCTTCCAAGAGTTTCATGGTGGAATGTGAAGCCCTGAGGAATGTTAAACATCGGAATCTTGTCAAGGTCCTAAGTGCTTGTTCAGGTATTGACAATAAAGGGGATGATTTCAGGGCTCTGATCTATGAATTCATGGATAATGATTGTCTGGAGAAATGGTTACACTCAGACAATGAACTATCTATCCAGAAGTTCCACAAGTTAAACCTTCTGCAGAGGATAAACATAGCTATTGACATTGCTTCAGCGCTAGACTATCTTCACAATCAGTGTCATAATCCCATAATTCACCGTGATCTCAAGCCAAGCAATGTTCTGTTGGATAGTGAAATGGTTGGTCATGTAGCAGACTTTGGTATAGCAAAATTCCTCCCAACAGAAAATATTTCAGGGAATCAATCTAGCTCTACTGCTGTGAAAGGAACCGTTGGTTACACAGCTCCAGGTATGTATGGTTTTTAGCAGTATAGATCTATGGTCTTCCACTGCAATTCATCCCTCACTTTCCTCCATCCATCCAAAGTCAAAAGATAAAACGACTATTATGACGAGAAGATATTCATATTATTGATGACTATGTTTCGTATGTTGTGGTACAAGTCATTAGCTATTATGTTGCTTGGTATAGTAGTTATCAATAGAAGAGTCTGCTAGAAGCAGTAGCCGGCTTTTTTTTTCCTTTGTTTTTTTCATTTCTGTTATTTAAATACGGGACAGAAATAAAAATAAAACGGACTTAGGAGAGGAAACACAACTTGACCTCAGAAAATGAGTTAGATGGCTTGCATAACACAGCTTATAAGATTGTCATCTTTTTAGTTCACTTATGAGAAAATTGTAGTCAGGATGACCAGTAAGATTTTCAGGACTGAGGACAGGTTTTTGGGGTTAGCTTACCCTTGGGGGATTGCAACCCTTTTTCCCAGCCGTTGTAACGCGTGTCTCGCATAATCTTCTATCTGTAATTGTTACGTTATGAATAAAGCACTAACCTATCCCAAGATAATATATGCATCAATCTACAGAATAGTGTACAGAAGGGGTGCATAAAATTGAACAGTCGCCTCTTCTCTTTATATTATTGTCTGATCTTCCGCGATTAGAATTAGGGGAACTATTCTTTCTTCTATAAGATTTTTCTGTTACCACTTCAGTATTATGCATCTCCTTATAAGAAATCCTTGCTACATTGCCATGAAATTTTACCATCTTGGTTAACAGAATGCCACATGGCAGTCTATCATTGGCTGGTTTAAAAAAAATAAAAAATTTCCATCAATCAGTAACTGTCACCAATGCATCTGTCATCCAAGGTGGTAAATTCATCTGGCAAGAAAGCATTATTCAAGAATTCATGCAAACAAAATCATGAGATCAGAATAACTGCAGAGAGTAGTACCATTTCACTAGATCTCCTGCTTGAAGAGGATTTAAGTTCTTTTACATGCTTAAACTCCACTTCCAGTGGCGGATCCAAGAAAAAATTCAACACGGGTTAATACGTATAAATAAAAATATTGCACATAAAAAAATAATTTACTTAATTTTTTTTTTTTAATGGACATTTGGGCCGAAGGGACGGGATACCCCCATGTCCACTTCTCTTGTGCAATTTAAGCAAAACGTTACGTCTTGCAGAGTATGGATTAGGAAGTCAGCCATCACCATCAGGTGATGTTTACAGCTTTGGAATCCTCCTCCTGGAGATGTTTACTGGAAAGCAGCCTACCAATGACTTGTTTAAAGATGGTCTTCACCTTCATAATTTTGTCAAGGCATCTCTGCCGGATTGTGTAGTAGATATCATGGATCCGGCACTTGTTGAAGAAAGCAAAATAACAAATATTACAAATGGAAATGAACAAAATCAAAGGATCCACGAAATGAAGGAGTGCCTGGTTTCTGTATTTGAAATCGGACTGATGTGTTCTGTGGCTATGGCAAGAGAAAGAATGCATATCAGCGATGTTGTAAGCGAGCTACACTACATCAAACATGTTATCTTGGAATTGGAATCCACAGAGCCAAATTTATAAAGAAAGCAAACTGAGAGTATATTTTATTAACAGGAAACATGGGTTATTAGATTACTACTTTATGTCTCTTCTTTTCTGAAGTAGACTTGTATCTGCTTGTAAATATAGTGGGAAAATGCTAGCTTGTCCTCTTTAGAAAATGTCAGTCTCTTGTGTTTATGTTTAATATGCAATTTTAAACAATATAATAAATATGATTTTAGTTTATATATATTTATTATGTTGTCTAATGCTTTTCATTCATGCTACCAAGTATGTAGGGATGCAGAAGCTAAAATATTTAATAAATCTAAATATTATTGAAGAATATTCGATTGAGTGCAAGAGTAGACATGACTGATTCCTTTTTAATCTATTTCCTCACTTCACTCATGAGAGATTCAACACAATAAGTTATAAACTTATCCACTTATACAGGCATTCATGGACTATTCTAAATTTGCAAGACTTTCTGTTATCTAAGATCACACATTTTCTTTCCAAAGCATTTTTTTCATCTTCCCAAGCCAAGACAAATTTCACACTGGTCAAGATTTCATGTTCCTTAGTGGTTTTTACTGTGGTAGTCTTAAACATATTCAATGTCTTTAAGTATTGCAAGTTAGTATGGGACTTTTTTAAGTTTTTACATCCACTTAATCTGTAATCTTTCATTGCTTGAATTTTTTCTAACTTGCCAATCGTGATTGATTTTGTCAGAATGTTGGTTGATTGATTATTGTTGTTAATGACCTCCATGTAAATTTTGCCTTATTTAACAAAACTAAATTCAAGGAGTAGCTGCAGTCGCAGTTTCAAATCATTAATTCTTGCAAATTTTATCCAAGCTTTTGATCTGTAGCAACGCTAATTCCAAATCTTTCAAACTTGTGCAGTATAAGGACCTTTGCACAATTTTCGTCCAAAGATCTATTAATTAACAAAAGTCAAGTATCCACCTTAGCCCTTGTTCGGGCTCCATTTTTCAAACCTCATTTTCATCCACACTGTAGACATAAAAAATAAAAAAAATGGATTGGGTCGATTTAAATAATTAGCCCAATTAAATTGAAATCTACTAAGGTCTATAAAACCCAAAGAACCATCTCACATTTTAAATAAATAAATATTTAATTATTCCTTTTAATTAAATATAATTGAGTGATTATCAAAAGTAGCACGAATTTTTCCCTATAAATAGGATCAATGGTCTATAAGGGAGGAAAGGAAAAAAGCAAGGAAGAAGTGAAAGCTGAGAAGACAATCACGAGGTGCTGAATAAATTCCAAAGCCGAAGGAAAGGAAGAAATCCTGTCAAACCTAAATCCGATGAACCTCAAGAAGATCAAAACCTTCTTCGAATCAAATGGGTGCAAACCAAGTCCAAAAAGATCAAAGTTTTCTTCAAATCCAATCAAATTCAAGTACAAGTCCAAGCCTCAAAACTCAATTGCCGGACAAGTCAAGTATTAACAAATCAAAATTTCAACAAAATTCTCAAAAACTAGGATTAAGCCGCATGGCCTCCCATCTTCAAATATTCAGAACATTAATAAGATGATTTTTACAATTTTGCAATTACAAGAAGGTAAATATCACTTTATTTATCAAAAATACAATTTTGTAACGATTTTTGTATTTTAATACACGAAATTCGTCGTACAAATTTCTTAGCACGCCTAGTAGGACCTTCTTGTCCTTTAATCTTTTGATCTCAGAATCGTTAAGTTTCAACCACTACATCAGCAATAGCAAGCGAAAATGTGAAAACAAACTATGAGTCATCTTGGAGAGATACTGGTTGAACTCTTCCATGCGACCAAGGCTCAAACAAAAACTAGGAAAACTCGATTGGTCCCACCATTGAAGAAATTCTCCAACAAAGGCAAAATGAAAATTGCCTTTAAAAAGCCAAACTCTCATTCAATTGAAAAGACCATGAGTTCGGCGAAAAGCTCTCATCTAGGCTCCATCTCCAGTGGTAGATCCTTGTCTGGATCTTCTCATGCCACTTCTCAGCAAAAGTGGGAGATGATACTTCATCTGAAGAATTATTTGAGCCAGTGATGATCACAGAAGTGACATCGCTCTTAGATGACTGAATTCAACAAATGACTTTAGCCATTGAAAAATTAACAAAGTCACTAGAAGACAAAGATGCACAGATTGTTATGCTCATGCACAGGCCAGAGTTGTAAAATCCACTGGTTAAAGAAGATCACGAAAATTCGGGATTTCCAAGGCTAAAGAGCTAGAAGTCCAAAAGTGCTAACAGAAGCAAGATATATATGATCAGACAGTTGTTCAAAATATATTGTGTGACGCCACTCAACTCTTTCTTGCCTCTCTATCCGTTCAACAACTTCAATATATGATTACGGATACCATTCGTGCACAGTATGGTGGTTTATTGCAATCTTCATTAGTATATGCCAAGCCCTATAGTCGTTGGATCGACAAAATGAAGATGTCACTTGGTTACCAACCTCCGAAATTTCAATGTTTTGATGGAAAGGAGAATCCAAAACAACATGTTGCTCATCTTATTAAGACGTGTAATAATGCAGACACTTACAATGACATCATAGTGAAGCAGTTCATACACTTCCTAAAAGGTGCCACATTTGAATGGTACATGGACTTACCGCTGGGTCAATTGATAGTTAGGATCAACACGAGCGGGAAATCCTAACACGCTTCTATAGCACTCGGCAAACTGTTAGCCTTCTAGAAGTTGCTCGAGTGAAGCAAAGCAAAGAAGAGCCTGTTGTAGAGTACATCGAACGCTGGAGGAATGTCGTGCTTAATTGCAAAGAACAAATAAGCTAAGCATGTTCCGTCGACATATGTGCGCAAGGTATGCATTGGAGATTACTCTATAATCTCCAATCAAATATGCCTCGCTCATTCGAAGAATTAGCGACATGTGCTCATGAACTGGATAGCCAAATTGTAAGACATGAGAGTTACTTACCAAGTGATCAACGTGACAAAAAAGAATCTAAGAAAGAAATAAAAAAGGACGTCAAGCCAAGTAAATCCAAAGAAGTTATGACGATTTTCTACTGTTCTTGCAAAGACAGCTTTTCAGGGGTCAAGCTCGAATCCAAAACCAAAGCCTAAGTTTAGATCTAACAAAGGACAAGTCCAAAGCAGATATCATATGACTCTAAAAGGACTTGAAGCAAAGGAGTATCCATTCTCAGATTCTGAAGTTTCTCGAATTCTGGATTAGCTTTTTGAATAGGAGATAATCAAACTTTTAGTGCTAAAAAGACTTGAGGAAATTGGTAAGGTCGATCATTCTAAATATTGTAAATTTCACAGAATCATTAGCCACCTATGTCTTGAAAGATCTTATTGTTCGCTTTGACAAAGAAAATAAGATCAAACTTGAAATTGAAGAGAATCCAACAGTTGTCTGCTCGATGGTTTCATTTGGATAATTTGATCCAATTTCCATTGTAGGGAAGAAACAAACATTTTCTAATATACACGACGCTTGTAAATTCTAAGTTAAGGGGTTTAGACCTCAACTTCCAGAAGGAGCCATCCCAGTGGAGTGCGAGGTAGACAGAGAAATCACTATCAATTATGTCTATTCGGGGATGGATAGACCAAGCGCATCCAATCGTCCAACCTTTTATGAAATTATGACAGGTGACTTGGAAGTTTAGGATTCTGACTTAGAGTCTAAGATGAGATCGGTGACGACTGGTCTACCTTCATAAGCTCTGAAAGTGGCACCGATGAAAGGTGTACTTAGGCTTGGCAAGAAAGGAAAGCTACGACCCTGCTATATCGGACCTTTCGAGATACTTGATAGGGTCGAAAATGTAGCCTATCGGTTAGCTCTCCCACCTGGGTTATCGGCAGTGCACAACGTGTTCCATGTATCAATGATCAAGAAATACGTGCATGATCCTAATCATGTAGTGAACTATCAGTCCATGGAAGTACAAAAGGACTTATCCAATGAAGAGGTACCAATTATGATATTGGATCGAAAGGTGCATAAACTAAGGAACGAAGAAATTCAATTGGTCAAAATACAATGGAATAATCATGAAATAGAAGAGGCCACTTGGGAAGGGGAAGAAGAAGCCAAAAACAAGTATCCAACACTATTCGTCCAATCAGAAGGTAAATTTCATGGATGAAATTTTAATTAAGCTGTAGGGGATGTAGAACCCCAAATAATTTTAAGCACCTTAGTGGCACTAAGACATGAATATTGGATGGCTAAAGTATACTTCAGAATTTTAGTCTCATTTGAGACCCATTCATGACATAGAAAACATTCGACTCGAAAAATGATATCCAAAGGAAATTTGTAGCTCTTTGAGTTAGCTTTCCAACGCACTTTGAATTACCTCAATTAGATATCGTGAGAAGAAGTTATGATAGAAATACTAAAGGCTGTACAGTATCAACCGAAGTACATAGAATATGAAAAATCAAATTTCTACACGATTTTCTAGCACCTTCTTAAACTTATAACTCCCACATAAATGGCACCCATATTAATGAGTATTAGGCCCTTCACTTGCCCTTAAGTTGTGAGATTTTTACCTATAAATAGGCCTCAATGCATACACATTTTTCACACCAAGACAAAAGCTTTTAAGCATAAAAGAGAGAGTTTTCAAGTCTAGAAAAAAGAGAAGGGAGAGGAAGGAAAATTAGTTTTTCCTAGAAGTTTTGGTGCTATCAAGAAGTGTTTTCCAAATATCAATTCTCAACGGAATGTTTTTTTTAAACATCAAGGAGTGCATTTTTCAACAAGGTTCAAAGCATCAATCAAGGTAGGTAGAGGTGCAAAGTGTTAATTCGTGTTAAGTTATAAGTTTCTAGCAAATGAAGATTTATGTTAATGTTTGCATGTCTAATGGTACCTCCGGTACGGCATACACCTCCATATCTAATGGTACCTCCGGGTACGTCATGTACTTCCGATCGAGGCGTCGTGTTAAGTCATGACTCTACGTGTTTGGGATTCTACCAAAAATCCTACTATGAAAAGGTTTCTAAAGTTACAGCTTTGAAATATATAGTTTGATCACGAATGCACCAATGATATCTATTGAGTTTTTTTAACTTACGGGTTTAACCCCTTCTCTACATATTGATATGATTCTACCTTGGGCCTGGATGATGGAAA